GAACTGTGTTTTTTATTTGGGTTTCTGTTTGTTTATTATTGGTGTAGAGAAATGCGATTGTCTTTTGTACATTTATTTTGTATCCTGAGACTTTGCGAAAGGCTTTTATCAATGTAAGGAGGCCTTTGACAGATTCTCTTGGGTTTTCAAGGTACACCATCATATCATCTGCATAGAGAGATAACTTGACTTCCTCTTTTCCTATTTGAATACCTCTGATTGCCTCCTCTTCTCTGATTGCTTTAGCCAGGACTTCCAATACTATGTTGAGAAAGTAATTTTTAAATTACAAACTCCATGGTAACAGTAATAGAATCTGCAAGTAGAAAAATTACTTACCAGTGGACTGTATAACTGTGGAATTACATACTTTTAAGTATTTTATGCACCCAAAATAGACCTCAGGAGAATCTTAGCAAAGATGGCATGTAGTTAGCATTTAATAAGAATTAGAGAGATACTAAACCTTATAAACCTACTGCGATCTACAGAATAAAAAAGACATTTGTATACCTGAAATGTTTGAGTTAGTTTTCCATGAATATAAAAAAAGCAAAAGTATTTTGCTAGAAATGTGCTTGTGAGTGAAGTTACTGACCATTTCAGACTAAAGAAAGAAGACATTTCAGAAAATGTTTACTTACAGCTAGTCTGTGTGATTATAGTGAGAAGTGGCCGCTGCCCACAATTTGAGCATTATCATGATCAGCCTACACTGATAGCAGTCAGTGAGGGCGGCAGGGAGAGCCCTGCCAGCCTCACTGGCCACCTGAACAGACAGCAAGGCCAGTATAGGGAAGGAAGTACTCAGGTCTAGGAGGGAGGGCTGGTTCCCTGTCCTGGCTCAGCATTAGAATGACTTTGAGGCCTTAGCCAGATCACACTGTCTCTGAACTTCAATGTCTTCAACTATCTATGAAAGATAATGTCTACCCCAAAGAGTTATCATGAGATCAGACAAGTAAAATTATGTCAAAAAGCACATGGTAGCTTTTCTAACAGTTTAGTTCCTTCCCCTGTGAGACAGGTTTGGAAGTCAATACCTCCTCATCTGAAGACATCTCATGGCCCCATAGCCCGGTATGAAACCTAGGAGGATCCTGTGACATCCACAGTTTTGTCTGGTTCTTGCATTCTGTATTTTTAATAAAGAATAGAAGTGTGCCACAGCTGAGTTTCTTAATAATGCTAATGTCACTTGCTAGAATTCCTGTGTTTCATTCATTTGTGCCTGTTCTTCTAATAGAAGTTAATAGGGCAGTCCCCTTGGGTCCCCTCCCACTGTTGGAACTTTTCTGTCCTCTCAATAAATCCTGCTTTCAAAAAAAAATAGTAATAATAATAATAGGAGTTAATAAAAAAGACTATTCTCAAAAATTATTATTTGTTAGAAAAGCTGTCATTTTGTTCGTTTCCTTGGTGAGGAAACAAACAATAAAAGAAACAGATAAATATCAAAGAATTTTCCACAGCAAAGCACCAAGAAAAATAATACTTTCCCCTTATGCTGATATTGTCTTCCAAAACAATCAATAATATCTCAAGAAATTCAACAAGGACTGGGGGAAAGTGATTTTGCTGTAATCCCAGCACTTTGGGAGACCAAGGCCAATGGATTGCCTGAGCCCATGGGTTCGAGACCAGCCTGGGCGACTTGGCAAGACCTCGTTTCTACAATAAATCAAAAATTAGCTGGGCACGTTAGCGCGTACCTGTAGGTCTGGCTACTTGGAAGGCTAAGGCAGAAGGATCGCCGGAGCCCAGCAGGTCGACGCTAGGGTGGCCAAGAGCATGTGCCACTGTGCTTCAGTCTGGGTGACAGAGTGAGACTCCAATTCCAAAAAAAAAAAAAGAAAGAAAGAAATATTATTTGAAAAGAAATAGACTGAAATAATTGCTGGAGGATGTCACCAAGTGATAAACAACTTTTCCTTTGTTGCTAAGAATGACATAGAGCATACAGGCTTAAGGTAATCTAAAGTATATAAACAACTTATAAGCTTGAATGTACAATCGGTGTATATTTTAGTTTTGCTCTCTTTGTGTTGTTTTAAGTAATAAATGAATATTGACCACTTGGTGTGGTTATATTTAGAAAACTGAATTTGAAGTCTGAACAATTATGTCTATATCTTACAATGTTTTAAGTTTCTGTCTACAAAAAGAAAGAAATCTGTGCAATTATATTGCTGTCGGCCCTGCAGAGCTGCTGATAAGCAAAGTTTCATGAATTGCCAAATCAATTATCTGTCAGGTTTTGAATTCTAGAAGCATTATCCTGCAAGATAAGTGGACGAGTCAGAAATAACACAGCTTGATTTTAAGACACCAGGTGAAGGTGGCAATATGATCTGAAGCAAATTGCATTGATACATGAGCATATTCACTTGACGTGCAGTAGTTTTAGACACTATCTCTGGCACCGTGGGGATGTCACCGTGGCAGACCTTCCCCTTCTGTCCTCGAACTGTATCACACTTGTAAGACAGTGAGGCTCATGGGGTATTATCTCAACAGCCAAAAGGCTGTAAAGATAAACGTTGCTAGCAGGCACTAACATGGGTGTCATGACTTTTTTCAGGTAGTAGGTGTAACCTTGAAGAAAAAGTGGCACTGTCTTCAAAAAAGTGACCTGACCCTGGCTTTGGTGGGTTTTTTCTGCAAGAAATAAAAAGCACCGCATGTGTTTATTGTACATCCTTTCTAGCTGACCACTGCTTTGTTCTAGAGTTCAGCATGAAAGGACTAATTTTTGTTTTGTTTTTCTTTTTGTTTTAGTGAAATGGCATGTCCCTTGCTAATTCTAGCTATTATAGTTGCACCTGTTAAAAAATATCTCTATGTAGTTTATGCATTGGTAGCATTTCAAATAAATGATATATTGAAAAATTGACCTCAAATTTTTTGAGATGCTTATCAATTGACATTTTTTCTTAGCCCAAGAAAAGAGTCTGAATTATTATTTTCTTAAATAAAATTATTCCTTGTAACATTAGATTTGTTATTTAAAATATAGTAGGAATTTAAATATAAGCATGCCACTTTGTTTATTGCTATATTATTAGAACTTCTAGAAGCATGGAAAGAATTCTTCACAAATGATTTTGCTCTTTTGAAAAAAGGTAGCTGCAAAAATATTTGCTATAAACCCTATTTAATCTGTAAATGAGTGTAGCTTATAAAAGTACTAAGCTTATAGTATGCAATGTTCCATCCAAATAATTTTTATATGTTGATAAGATGTTAAACAATTTAATAGTGCTATAATAAATATTTTCCCAGAATTCAGAATTGTATGCATCTCTATTTAGGAAACTCACATTACTTCATTAAAGAAGAAACCTGGAATCATTATGCACCTCAATTTGTTTTGCAATGAGTCGTTAAGTTTTCCTTCATTTTTCCAGAAATCAGTTATTCTAAGAATTATGGTCATATAAACTTTTCAGAACACATATGAAAATTACTACTGATGTTTCTACTGAATAAAATCTTTAGTATCTGATATTCCATTCTGGAAATAACTCGTTATCATTCAATAATGCTGGTTATAAAGTCAAAAAAAAAAAAAAAACTTTCAGCACTGCAAACAGATTCACACTTTTTAAATTTATTAGCTGTACAAAAAGTTTTTCTTTGTTCTAATAAATAAAAGTTGCCACTGGCTACAATTTAGAAAGTCAATGCCTGAGAAAATAGACAACATTTTGCTCCCTAGAGTAAACCTACCTTCTAAATACTTAAAGCCCTTTGAAAGCCCATGATAATGATGTAATTCTATCCTTTTTTGTTGCCTGGAAACTATCAAGATTTATTAAGCTCTGAAGTTGATATCAACACTGGCTCATAATTCCTTTTCAGACAATAAACCCCCATATGTCCATTTTTGTTTCTTTGCCTATGATATCTCTGTCTGCTACATGTGTATTTTAGGTAGATTTACAACACAGACATTCATATGTTCTCTTAGAATAAAATTGTTTTCTCCAGGGAGGCTCTGCCCATAGACCTGAGAAAGCAGGACTTTTCTATTTTTAAAGTATTTAAAGATCAATTAATTTTTACATAGTAGGTAGTGTTTCTAATTGGGTTGGAGAGATATTTTGTTTTTGTTTTTTTTTAATTAATGCCATATCTGCTTTCAAAATTTTAATAATGTGGTAAATTCAGATTAGCAGAAAGTCAACATACCTTACAGTTCATAATTCTGCTTCTTTGAGACAACGTGGGGATATGTGTGTGTATATCTATTTAGATAGATAGGTTAGATACACACATGCAATCTATATATATATGCCTCAAGATTAATTATCCTTTACTGACATCTGAATATATGAGGCTCTCCAATTAAAAGACATCTCTAAAATTCTATTAAAATTGTATGGACTCAAAAACATCGAGAGTCACAAATTTTTCTCACCAAGGTCATACTATCTCCACAGACAAGCTGGGTAAATTCCTGTTATGTCAAGCCACTAAAGAATTTTTAGAGATTTATAACATGTTTATTCTTTTTATCCCAATTCACTCAAAAACAGCAAAGATTCCAGAGACAGCAAGCAAAAGCCCTCTATGGGAATCAGATCCTGATCCTAATCTCTGTCCCAAACTCCTGTTGTTCAAAACATTTAAAGATTATATAGTAATCATTTCTAAATGAACATAATAGTCAACCCATAGTGTTTTTAAATTGATATTATAAAAAATATGTTCATGTCATGTTAATTGCCTTAAAATATATTACACATATAAAATACTATGTTAAAATTAAATATAATATATCAGCTGTAAAGGTGAAAAAGTAGCTAACTAAAAGTTCACAAATAATCGTTTTTCAGATTTTGTGTGTTTTCTCCTCAGCCAAAAGCCTCAAGATTCACTTGCAGCAGCCTACCTCTTCATTTATGTTGGATTGCTCTGTAAACATTAGAATATCTTGTAATAAATAATAAGTTAAAGATTTCTCCTGACACAAGTCATTGTTGATTTCACTGTTATAGGGAAAAGGCTCTAGGGCGGCAGATAAGGCTGTTGCCATGGTGATGAAGGAGATACCGAGGGAGGAGTCTGCTGAAGAAAAGCCCCTCCTTACTATGACATCACAGGTGGGCAGACCCATAGGGTTCCTGTAGGAAGCTGACATATGTTAATATATCAGATATTGTGATTTTTAACTAGAAAAAAAAACTTGAACCAATTTTTTTAAAGACAGTTTCAATGAAACAATTATACCAATATTAAATGAAAACCAAAATTACTAAAAAAAAAAAAAAGAGGAAAATTCATCATCTAGTTATTTATTTGTGAATATTAACTTTCATTACTCTAGTTAAGAAAGAAAATGTACATGCAAGGAAAACATGTTGCTTCTTTATAAAGGAGTCTTGTTAACAACTTTGAGAAAGAGATAAGTTAATGGGACATTCGAACAATAACAACCAAAAAAATCAAATTCCTATGAATAAATACAAGTTATATTGTATACATATGTCAGTTTACCAGTAGAATATCTAAATTTTCTTAAGTGTTAAATATATTTATGTTGTGACTATGCATACTACATATATGTCGATATATATTTATGTGGATAACTAATTTACAGGGATGAGCCAGAAGTCCCTGCGTCTCCATGCAGAAAATGGCATTTGTGACCCTTTTTACACTTGTGACCTTGAGAACAAAAATATCATCTCTATTATAAGCACATGAGGGCCATTTTCAGCATTTATTATAACAAGTATAGAAAGAAGTTTGCATTTGTATGCAAAAACACGTTGAGACTGTGAATCCTGTATGTCCTCAGGGACTTTTGAAACACCCTGTAAAATCTACATAAATATGTATAATCTACTCATCACCACTCTGTGGAACTACCAGTTTTAAATTCTTAAATGAAAAATATTTTTACTTGCATTTATCTTATAATTTAGATTAGATTGTTATTTTAAACATTTCATTTTTTTCATAATGCAATAGTAAATGCAGTGATTCAGTTCCGATTATATGAACATGACTAGAATTTGAAAAATGTCCATTTATAGTCCTCATGAAAGGCATTTATATCAAACGCTAAATTATGGCAACTTATTTTTAGAATATCAGCAGATTTCATCCCCAGCTGCTGTCAACATATGTGGTTTTTATTTTATTCTAAATACTGTGTTGTAAGTAATAAAAATTATAACATATAACATCAAGATTAAATAATTTCTTTAAAGTTATTAAAGATTCCCGTGATTTGGGGATAAATTTTTTATTCATAGAGAAAATATGCTTCTTCCCAATGATACAGAGTAATAGATGGAAAGAAATTTGCCTGATATTTACCAAATTCCTCATTCTGTACTTAATTTACATAGTAAAACATAGACAGTTTTACACTGATCTCCTGACACTATCAGAGTCAGACCTTTGTAGACTCATGTGCAAAATATTAAGTACACAGTCCCTCAGGTAAATGCTGTGGGAGGTGAGAACTACTTGGAGTTCTTGGCTAACAGCAGAGCCATCTATCACAATAGGTAAGACCTTTCCAGATTTACAATTGTCACAGTTATGCTACAAGTCATCTTAGAACATAACAATTTAGGACAAGTTCCAGTCCCTAAGATTCTTTTCTCTCAAAATCATGCATTGCTATGTACTCTCCAGTAATCCTTTTCTCATGTCCAAAATTACCATTATGACCTAAACTTGAACTTAAAATTTAATGCAAAATAATATTTTTAATTTTTTCATTTAGAAAAAAAGTGTGATTATTACCATTTTCTCATTCAGAACATTTGTCTGTACCAAGTTCCTTCTTTAGTTCCTGCCTAATGTTGCATTAACTGTTTCTGAGGTACTATATAGTACAGCTTTACTGCATGAAGATTATATAGTGCTTTATTCGATGCATCATATTCTTGTTGCATACTGTCCAGTTTATGAATTAGCAAACAGACTTCTGATTCATAAAATGAATGCATCTGTTGTGTTGATAATATTACGGAATTAATTCAGTGACAGCTGTTGATACAATTATTTCTCAGTCAAATGCAGTTTTATTAGATGATATACTTTTTCCACTATACACAAATGGCTTCTTCCCTGCTATGCACCAGTGGCGTGCACAAACCAAAAAGAAGCAGGATGATCTGAAAAAGTGAGTACTTCCATGGCAACCACGGCATCTAGTCTGTGTACCATACCACATTCTTGTTGTTCTCCTGTGTGAATGTACTAGTGTCTTGGCACATGTTTGTCCCGGTGTCTCCTGTAAAGGTCCTTGTGACATAGTGCTACATGCTGCTGACTACATCGACTCATTATCACTGGTATGTCGATGCCAGCTGCTCATGTCACAGACTCCAGATATGCCTGAAGCTAATTGCTCCTCTCTCAATAGTGTCTACAGGACAATTATGATAGACAAAATACAGAATCATTCACTGAAACACCGAGCCCTTAACTTGTTTAGTAACTGTTCATTCAGCAGATTGTAAGTGCAGAAGTTTTATATTCCGGAACTTTTTTGTATTACATTATTATGGTATGTATTATCATATTATGATGATGATGGTGATGAAGATGATGTGTTCCTCGACTTTTAGAGGGATTAAGCCAAACATACTCCAGTGAAACCATATATAGTACATTGAACAAAGCAGAAAAGTTGGCCAGATGACTTGAACTCAGAAAGTGCAGGACCACCGAGAGTTGCTTTTTTTATTTACTGTAATTATTAACTATGTATTAACAAACAATATGTCAAGCACATCATAAAAGCTCAATTTTATGCTGTCCTAGACTGATACCTAAATCAAACAATATGTGAACAAGTGTGTGTTGATGAAAAGCTTGAAGAAGAAAAAATATGTGAACCTAGTCTTTGAGACTTGTGCTGTCCAATATAGCAGCTAAGAGCTACTAGCCACATATGGCTACTAAACTCTTTTTGGCTGCTCCAAATTGAGATGCGCCACAAGCATAAAATGCACACGAGATTTTGAAGACCTAATCCTAAAAAGTGTAAACTATCACATTAATAATTTTTATATTGATCATATGTTGAAATGATAATATTTTGGATTTCATATATATTTGGTTAAATCAAATATATCATTAAAATTAATTCCACTTATTTCTTTTCACTTTTTTAAAGTGGCTACTAGAAAATTTTAAATTATGAGACTTTCCTTATATTTCTGTTGAACTCTAATCATATAAACAAATTCCATTTGAGAATAGAAGGGAAAACTGCGCCAGAAGATTGATTATATCATAGAAAAAATATTATCTTTATGAGAATGCAATGACTTTAGTGAATATTTTTCTTTCCTAAGGAACCTTGAGAAATTTGCGTTTTGAACACATCCCTGGCTACTTTTTATAGCAAGGAAGATGTATCCCATTCATTTTTGGCTTTAGAGCACAATGTCTTAAAACTATTACAGGTCTCTTTTTGTGAAGGGACTTTTTTTTTTTTCAAACTCGGTCTTTGTTTTTCTGTCACCACTCATTATAGCCCAATATTGATTTAATTTTTATGTTTGATAAAGATAAAAAGAGTAACGTCCTCAATTGGAAGACTATTCCCCAGGCTACTAAATACTGCCTTACCTGAGTTTCTGTTACTAACATAAAGCAATTGTGTCCAGCAGGTTGAGGCTGTGGTGGCCATGAGCATGCCACTGCACTCCAGCCTGGGCAGTTAGTAAGACTCTGACTCAGAGGGAAAAAAAAAAGCAATTGTCTTAATTATGTTCTCCTGCTTGCCTTAGTGCTAGTGCTACCCAAGCTGTAAATGGCCGTCTCTGTTAATTTTTCTATGAATAGATTCACATTTTGTAAATCTAACTATCCTGTCAGGAAAATATGTGTATTTGATTGGGTGAAATTTAGATCAAGTCAAAGAGTTTAAAGTTATCACATGGCAATCCTTTACTGGAAGATCCAATGAGACACATACAAGGGGGGGGGGACCCAGAAAACCTGGAACTTATTTATTAAAAATTGCGTATTTATTCTCATATATTTAAATTTCAGTCACCTTCAAAGTACTCTCCATTCGATACAGTACACCTATCGAGACGCTTTTCCACTGCTCAGAACAGTGTTTGAACTCATCAACTTTGATACATTTTAGTGCTCCTGCCATTTTTTGTTTCACCTCTTCCACATTAGAAAAGCGTTTCCCCTTGAGGACCTTTTTCATCCAAGGAGATTTCTTTTAAAAAGTCATTTGGAGTGAGATTAGGCAAATAGGGAGGATGAGGCACAGGGGTCACGCTGTTTTTTATCTAAAACTGCTGAACACTCAGCACAGTGTGAACAAGTGCATTCGTAAAGCACCTATCGTGAACTGGGCAAACACATTGAAAGGATCTCCAAAAAAAAAAAAATTGGGCAAACATGTTGAAAGAATCTGAAAAAAAAAAAATTCACTGAGGCAGAGCACAGTCTCTCACAACAGTGCTAACTGGTACACTGTTGCCAAGAACACTTAACCCAGCAGGGGACGCTTGTACTACAAGGGGCCTGCCCTCCAAAAGATAATTCCAGCTGTTTGGGGGGGGGTCCCTTCTTGTACATAGGACCTGGAGGATGGAGCAGTTCATTAGTATATAAATTTATAGAAAGTTAGTTCTGTCAGGTGTTAATTACCACGAGAGAGCTCTAAAAGTCTGGATATTTAAGGGATGCATGGTAATAATTCAGTTGTCTTTTCAATATATTGAGTCAGTTAATTTAGTTTTGATATTAATGAATCTCTCACAATATGATCACAATTTTGATGGGCACTGCACAGATTTCTAAATTTGAATAGGAATAATAAGACCATAAACAAGTAGTTCACTTATAAAATTTTGAATGAAAGCTTACTTAACTCATGACTTGAAATCAGCAATGTCATAGAGAAAGGTGCAATGAATCACACCTGTGGTCTCAGCTACTAGGGCTGAAGGATTTTTTGAGGCCAGAAGTTCAAGATCAGCCTAGGCATCATAGCAAGCCTCTATCTCAAAAAAAACAAACACACACACACACACACACACACACACACACACACACACAAATAATAAAGGAAAGATATACCTGCTAAAAGCATATTTATGTTTTGTTC